CACGAAGCTTCTCTCTCTTCCTGGGTGTTGAGGTGCTGGGTACAGCAGCAAGGGGGGTTGCTGCGGCGACGGCGCTGCGTCACATGAGCTCCAGCACCCCTTGCTGCAGCCGCTGCTGCAACGCAACTCCCGATATACATTTCTCCCCAGGCCCTCTTTTTATGTATGTACTAACAGTGTAGACGCTTGTTAACACTTACCTAGCCTGCAGTAGCCAAGGTGTACACACGAATAAGTATGTGTACAAATGTATACCGAGCGGGCAACACTTGCTGTAGATACACTGGAATAAAAAAACTGTTTATATTGGTGGATGCAGCATTCTCAAGCCTCAATAACTAAACCGAAGCTCCTACTCCTAGTCGGCAGACACCCGAAATGTATGAGGGGTGTGTTAGAGGGTTATTGAGGGTTTCGGCCTCGGGGATAAACGTTATGAAACTGGAGCTAACGGATTAGTGTTTATGTTTCAGGGTCTAGGGTTTAGGGTTTAGGGTTTAGGGTTTAGGGTTTATGGCTCTAACGATGCTTGTTTTAACTATCGATGTGGGCCTCGCTCGTTGGGGCCCCACAGCCTGGCCTAAGTATGTGCAAGTTTTCGTTTCTGGAGTTTCATTTCACAATATAATTTTTACTATTTTTATTTTATTAAATTAGTTTTTAGTTCATTTGATTCATCTTTGGCGGCATTACATATCCAGTGTCGATACACCCCGCTAATGAGGTTCGGGGCTCTGTAGGGCCCTTGGCTGTCTATCTGCCTTCCTTTCTTTGTTTATTTCACCTGCTCCATATTTTATATGTTTTGCAACAAAGCATTTTACTTGTAAGCGGGCTGTTATCTTCAGCCCCATAGGGGCCCCCCAGCCCAAGAACTCTCCTGGGTGCTGCTGCACAGGGGGCCCCCAGTACCCTCCGGCCTCGAGGGCCCCCTTCCTTGCTGTCCGCCTGGCCTGGGGCATCCGGAGTGTATGAACAGACATGACGGAGGCTGGGGCCCTCGCGCAGAGGCTGCATGCAGCAGCGGATGGGTTCAGGCTGGGGAAGGGACACAGCGAAGGCCTTCTTGCCTGGCTGGGGCCCCTTCTGCCGGCTCTAGGTCACCCCGAGGCCCCTGCAGTGCAGCAGAAAAAGCTAGGCAGCAAGGCAGCTGCTGCGCGGGAGCAGGAGCAGCAGCAGCTGCTGCACCAGCAGCAGCAGGAGCTCCCCAAGCAGAGACAGCAACTGCAGCAACTACTCAAAGGATACGCTGCAGCCTCTCCAGCCTGCATCGAGCTGCTGCAGCTGCTGGATGCATGCAATGAGCGGCTGCTGCAGAAGGCAGCAGAGGTGGGCCGGGCGGGCCAGCGTGGTTTGCCTGAGGGTATAAGTCCTGCTGCAGCGCGCATACAGCAGCAGCAGCAGCAGAAGCAGCAGCTGCTGCTGAAGGGCGCAGATGAAACCGAAGAAGCAGCTCGGGCAGCTCAAGCTGCTGCACTTATTGCAAGTGCTATTATCAAGGAAGAAGCTGTAGACACTCTTCCTGCTGCTGCAGCAACACGGAGCCGACTTGCTGCTGCAGTTGTTGCTCCATCGAGGCTGCTGTCACTTAGCTCATTGCTGCTGCCTCTCCCTGCTGCAGCAGGCAGCGGGAAGCAGCATGCTTTGCTGCAGTTGTGCATCTGTAGGCTGCTAGCTGCTGCTGCTACATTTTCCTCAGCAGCAGCATGGCGCATAGCCTCAGCAGCACAGGGTGCAACCGCAGCAGCAGCAGCAGCAGCGGCAGCAGCAGCGGAGTCTCTTCATGGGGCCAGCGGTGGAGCAGGAGACAAGGTGGTGCAGCAGCATCCCCTTCAGCAGGCCCTCATCCTCCTGTGTGAGGGTCCCTGCCAGCGTCTTCTGCAGCGCAGCAGCAGCAGCAGCAGCAGCAGCAGCAG